TAAACGTAATATAACTTGAATCTCTTTTTTTAAATAATGAAGGGAATTTGTGTCCATATCAATTTATGGGGCCAAGTCGGTAGTGAGTCTGCAGTAATTTTGTGGGGTGCACGAAAGGAGGCTCCCGCGTGACGTACCATTCTTTTCCCGTTTGGCGTATCCTGGGCAAGGCAAATCCTTTCACCACGATGGCAAGCATTGTAGTGTATGCGATCGATACCATAACAAGAAGAAGAAGAGTTTATTGTCTTAGAAGACAGCACATTGAGTGTTCGGTTGTTGATGTGTAATAATGGCATACAGGGGTGAAACATGATCCAAGTAAATGATCTGAGTAAAAAAAATAACATTATGTAGAAACAGTGTTTTATTACCTATCCGAAACTTCGTATAGATGTCGTAGTACTATTTATTTGTTATTAGTTACTTACTTTAGATACCTCTTGATAAAAAAAATAATTTATTTTTTATTAGCTTCTATACTATTATTCTCATGAAAGGGATCTTAATAATAACAGCAAAAGTTAACATAAAACAAAAGTGAATTACACACAATAACACAAATTCTAATAGGCATTATATTACGTTAATTTTCTTTTAAAAAATCGTAGGTCGAAGAGTAAACATTTATTCACAATTATAATCATGATGTTAATAAATTGCTGAACTTAATTATCCTTCCATATAACTCACTGATGTAATGATAGTAAGTAGTAAGTAGGTATTGCAGGAAATACAAATTCTTTTGACACTTCGTTTCTTTGTTTTAGTTAAAAACATTTTTGTACATACGAGTATGTGCGTTTATTTGATGTTTTCTTTTTATATTATTGTATTGTAGATGTGGGTTGCGTTTCCAATGAATTTGCCCTGTGATGGATAACACGACTATTCCATTCAAATTTTGTATTTTATATTGGAAAATTTCCATTATAAAATAAAACAATGAGGAAGTGGACCGGTTAGCCATTGCGGCTGCTTCAGAGGGGCCTGAGGTTGACATTGTGCCTGACTTCTCCGAAGTAGTTGCTAACAATAACAGCAAGTTCCATTCTTGCTGGAAGGAATATTTCGATATGAGGTCCCAGGAAAAAGGAATCTGGTATAAGACCATGCCGAGCGAGTCTCCTCGTGTTCCTTGGTTTGACCATGTTAAATTAAGCACAGGTTAAATTATCAGCGCGCATACGCTTCGATCCACGTTACACCGTACAAAAATTTTTGAATTTGATGCGAAGGGTGAACTCATCGAGTTGCGAAGTGTGTGAAGTCCTGAGGATGTACATCATTTGCTCCTGGAGTGTGTTCGGACGGAACCTATCAGGGCGCCGTTATTTGCACAGGCTGGTTTTCGTACATTTAATATTGGGTGGTTTGAATCCGTTTTGTCGGAGCCAACAAGTAGTGCCGCGAAGATTTTGTACACATATTTGGATAGGAAGTATTTTGATTTATCTGTCTGGATTTTATATTCAGTGTTTTCTTGAGATATTTTTTGTAATGGGGTTGACATGTTCAATAAATATCAAAGCCCTAAATAAATTAAGTAAGAGCAAAAAAACTTTGAAATGTACACGTGAATTTACTAAACCCACTGATGATCTATGAAACTGTGATTGAAATCAAACTATACGAGACATATTTTTTTTCACCCCAAATGACAAGGCAAAGTCATACCCAGTGCCACTCAAAGCTTTAAATCGCAATGACCTGAGTGGCGTCGTTAAAACTCGTGAACCTTTCCATTGTAAGGATATAGAAATTGTATAAAATTATAATTAAACTTTTGACCATTGACTTACAATTATATGGACGTCGGGTCCGCGCTAAAAAGTGTCCGCACTTGTAAGGCGCTAAAATCGTATACAGAGCGCGACAGTCTTCATTTGTTCTACTGACAGCGCGATACTGCGATGACATTACAATTTAAATTTCGAATAGGTTGACTTGGGACATTTTTTTCGTGGTTTTGTATTAGACCCGTCGTCCATTTATTTGTAAGTCAATGCTTTTGACACATTAAATTACGAAATTTTAAGGGGCATGAAAGGGCAAAAGAAACATTATTACATGGAATAGAGTAAGAACACAAGTGTAAATGTAAAATAAACAAGTTGTAAAACGATATTGGACTTTCAATTATTATATTAATAATAAATATTAATAACACAATCATATTTTCTTATTTATTATTTGGAAGACGTGGCATCGTAATGTTTTGACTTATCGCCTCTCAAGCAGAGGCCATGGGTTCGAATACGGACTCGTATCACTGAATTTCTCGGAATTTACGTGCGAAATTTAATTTGACGTATACTTAGTTGTAGTATAGCCACTTGTTAATCATAACTATTATGTATTTACCTATAATATGCTCATGTAATCGTTGAGCAGTATTAAAAGTTACATTGAACCGGATGGTCGTGTTTCTATTACCTCGCGGTCCCATCCATACATGGCGACCCTGCCAGTTCCTTGCGACGACACAAGATCGGTTTTCAAACTTTCCGGTTAAGCAAAATATCGTAATAAAACCTGCACGTCAAAGAAAGTTCAACATCTTCGGAAAACGTGTGAAGTTCCCAACCCGCATTGTCCTAGCGCGGCGGCTATAGCCTAAACCTTTCCCAGCAATGTGACTTAAAAATAAATGGGTTGACGATGAATCATATTTTCTTTTGACTGTACTGACAATGATTGTTTAACATGTCAATTAAATTAACAAGAAATGTCAAAGCTTACGCTTTGAAAAGCCTGGTTAAAAACTTCGCGTAAAATTAAAATTTCGATAAAATACCTTCAGCCATCACACGACGGGTTAAAATGTTTTTAATTAAACGCACAAAATATTTCCGTATTCATGCACTGTGTACGAAAAAGGGAAATTTACTTTGCCAATTACTCGACATGCTTAATTACCTTTTTATGCTCGTAGAAACTGTATTTACAAAGTTCAGTAGATATAAAGAAAATTCTAGAATTTTACATTTGTGAGTTTGATAGTAATTTAGTCTGATTGCGAAAAATCGTGTTAATTTAAGGCGATATTTTACAAAAGTCATTCTTCTAGCATGCTTTTTAGACCATTATAGTGGAATACATGCTGGCTACATAATGATGACAATTCGTATTTTCGAAGACTAGCATATAAAATTTTCAACACTTAGTGGGCTAGCCTGATAAACTATGGCCTTAATCATTTACCTTAGAGGTGCCCACTGTCCAGCGTACGTCCTGGACCCCAAAACTACTAATTTTTGAAACCATTGGTCATTGTAATTTTACTGACATTCTACTTCTATTTTTATTAATCTCAATTAGTAAAAATAGAAGTAAATTAATTTGTTATTTCGCGAACCCAATGGAGCGTAAATCGTGCGAAAAGGTATATTTGCTTTGAATATTTTTTCATGTAATTAATTGATTTTCCCACCCTCTATCCATGTAAAATATATAAATATAAATTTGTGACGCAAACATTTCCAACAGACGCCAAAGGGTATAATTTTTGCTGGTGATATCTTTTTATTTATAATACAAAGTGACGGAACGAACAAGTCCTGGGCCCTGTTACCCTGAGATATAAGTTGACAAGTACCTTGTGCCTGTAATTTCATCTATAAATGTAGTTGCGATTGTGTTATTTATTTTATTAATTTTAAGCTGAGTGTAAATATATTTTTTATGTCACGTATTTAGTAGACTACACCATCGACGTGACATCGATTCGACATTGAAGAGTAGAATACCATAAAAATGCAATATCGTTGAATAGTAGCTCGATAGCTAGCCACGGTCAAGGTGCTAATTTTAGCTGAATACCAAAATTACAAAATTTTGTCATTGACACTCTATCGCACATAACTGAGATTATTTGAAATTAGCAGAATACGAACACTGTATGTTCATCATTGACGATGATGAATCTCAAAAAAATTGTTAGGTATATTTTTTATTACAATTTTTATGTTTTGAAATATATTATTAAATGCAAGTACATATAGATAGAATGTAGTATATTAATACTACATCCAACCCCAGAGTTCAGTTTAATTTATTTGACAATTTTAACTTTTTCTTTGTTTATAATTTTGCTTAATCTCCATCGTTTCTGTTGAGACGCTTAAACTTTTAAATAATGAAATTGGTTAATATTCAACGTTTAACTCAGACACAAGACAATTAATCTCAAATTATTTTGATCAGTGCTTTGTGGTCCTGTCACCTTTCTGTAATCACAGATTGCACCTCCGGTTCTTTATAAACATCTTTTATAGTCAATTTTAAATATATTTAAAAAAAATCTCTGAAAAGTAACTCGAAGAAAAACAATAAAAAACTAAACATTACTGTAGGTTTAGTAACATATTCTGTCCCAAAATTCATGACAAGGGCTTTATTTTCAGGTTCCGGTAATCAACAAAGATTAAAGACAATTTAGGTCTTTTAAAACATTTCTTTTGATGTGACCTTGAAGCTAGTGGCAGTTTTGTAAAAAAAGACAAATGGTAGAAAATTGCCTTTCTTCTCGAAGTTAACGAGTCCACAAAGGCTGTCTCCGCAAATGATCACTGATTTATCGATACGTGTGTTTTTAACCCATTGAGAAGAATAAGCGATAGATTTTAACCCGTTGATTACTGTACCTAATCCATTTGTAGTTTTTCATAAAATTTGTTCCACCTACTCAAAATTTTTAATATAGGCAACTACTATATTCAAAATTGTTATGACTCTTAAAGTTTTGTTTCCAACTTCTGATGAAGTTGCAAATAGTTAATTATGAGTCAACATAACTCCATTATTAATTAATGAATCAGAGGTCTACGACACGAACCCAAACAAAGCGTCTACGAGACGACGACGCTACGAGAAAACATGCTACGGCGTAGACTGACTTATAATTAAAATCTTGTAATTACAATTATAAAATAAGACTGTAAATTTGAGTAATGCAAGAAGAGTTAGGTGAAAAGTATAAAATGCACAAATGAAATCACCTGTGGCTATGAGGCCTCCGTTCTTCGTCGTGGTCTTCTTTCATAAACGATGGTTGCAGACTAAATCTGCGGCGAAATTGATGTCTACCCTTCATATTTTAGGATTCACTAAACACATACTATAATATATGGATGTTCACAGTGATGTTTATGCGAATGGCGCGATAAGGGATGGGATGGTGAGCGACGCGACGTGCGCTCAGATCCGAATGCGCACGGCGAGTGGCGAATGGCGGCAGGCGGCGCGTCGGAGTGTGGCTGGCTGCGGCCCGGCGCACAACGCACGCCTTTCTCTACTACATATTCGTAACATCTAGATTAAAGAAATAAAATAATATGCTTATGCATTTTTTAACGTTATAATTATAATTTTAAAATATAAAATTAAGTCTCCGGGGGATTTGCATACTGTCTCCGTTCTCTATAATATTCTGCACAACCCTATGTCTTCTGGGTATTTGAAAGAGCGTTTCAGCTTTTTCAAGTCCCCTGGGACAGGGATAAGCCCTGTTGCTCTCTCGTTAGGTCCCAGTTATCTTTTTCATCCTTTTCGGTTTTTATTCTCACTCCTTCGTTCACGCGGTTAGACTTTGGAATGCTCTTCCCATTACTGTTCATAATAGTAAATCCTTGGCAATTTTCAAAAAGAGAGTTAAGGAGTACTTTTATCGACTGTTCCATCCGTTTTATAGGTATTATAGTACGAAATATGTATTTATCTAAATATTTATATAGTTTTAATAATCTAATGTTTTTGACATATCTTTTTTTAAGTCATAATTTTTATTTTGTGGTGCTCGTAAACTCGTTATTGTAATTATTGTCTCCTGTATTTAGGTCTGCAGGAAGAAATTTCTGTTACAAATAAGCAGTACCTTTTGTTTGTGTTTTCTTTGTTACTAAATGTATTTTTATTTCTTCTGTACAATAAATAAATAAATAAATTATGAAAATAATTTTAACTCTGTATAAGTATAGGAATAACGATAATATTATCAATATGTCCGTGTCGACAAGTACGCTTTTAAAGTAACTCTTTACTTAAAAGTTAACAAAGAAATTTAACTTTTTAATAAATTTAAGGCAACACGACAAGTAATAAACAGCCGTAACGTTAAAATATCTAAAATAAATGGCAACAGAATATTTTACAAAGATAAATATCTAACAGATCCAACACAAATTGCCAATGCATGCATTTAATGACTATTATATAGACCAAGCACAAGAAGCAAATCTGACGAATAATTCAGCTGCAAATATACACACCGAAACACCATACACAAGTTATTCCGTGTTTATGAGACCAACCACAGATAAGTACATTAAACAAACAATAAACAAATTAAAAAAGCACACAGAGGACAGAATGATGAGATAAATGCAATGATGGTTAATTATGTATCTGAATTTATATCTCCAATACTGGCATATTTAATAAATTTGTCATTAGAGCACGGAACATTCCCCGAAGAATTAAAAATATCAATAGTTGAATCCTTATATAAGAAAGATGATAAAGAAAATATTAACAACTACAGGCCTATTTCTCTCATTCTAGTTCTAGCTAAGATTTATGAGAAAGTTATCTAAGAAAACATGCTATCATACTTCGAGACAAATAAAATTTTAATCAATAAGCAGAAGGGCTTTAGGAAGAATCAGTCAATTAATTTGGCTATTTACGAGTTACAGTTCTAAAAGCAACAGATAAAAGTAAACCTATCATAACACTATACATGGATTTGACAAAGGCTTTTGATTTCGTGAATCATAAAATCGTTTTAGAAAAACAGAGGTTCAGAGGTTCACAGGGAATGTACACAAACTATTAGAGTCGTACTTGACTAATCGTAAACAAATGCAATGCATGTCATTAATAAAATATCGACTAAAATTAAAACTGACATATCATATTTTTCAACTAATAAATACTACAGTGTTGCATGGAGTACCCCACGGAAGTGTACTAGGCCCTCTATTGTTCCTTATGTATATCAATGACTTACCTACAGCTACAAAATATCCTATGCTAATGTTTGCGGATGATAGTACTGCAATTTTTGACATTGATAAACAGTATACTTAACCAAGAAATAAGCAATGAAATAATATTTATAATAAATTGGTTACAAGATAATAGACTACAAATTAATCTGAATAAAACAGTGTATACGAATTTTAAACACAAAATTAATAAAGTATATACTCAACATAACATAAGCTATACGAATATGAAATAGAAGGAAGAGGAAGTGACAAAATTTTTAAGAATATACATAATAAATGATAATAAATAGATTTACATACGGTTTGTGGAGACTATCTAAAGTTGTAGAACAAGATGAATTACTTATGGCTTACCACGAGCCTCAATCATAAGATACGGTATTATGTTCTGGGGTAATGCCAAACAAAGTACGAACGTGTTGATTGCACAAAAAAGGTAGATTCGGGCAATTTGTGGGTTGTGCCGTATGCTGCATACCACACGTTCAAAAACTAACATTATTAACAGTTCCTTCAATATACATATTTGAAATGGTTCTTTTTGTTCGGAGAAATCCCACACTCTTCAGCGAGGTGGAAAGTACACGAAGACACAATACATTGAAACTGGTTGCCTGTAAAACTACTCTCTTTCATGATAATATTTGTGCGATGGTGCTAAAATTATACAATAAGCTGCCTATAATTAGGCAGCTTATTGTATAATTTTGAGACTAACGACAATGCCAATATTAAACAGCGATTATTTAATTTATTGACTAGGAAAGCATATAAAAATAGAATAGAAATAGAAAGCATATAAAATCAGCGATTACTTAAATGATAAGAACATAGAATAACAGTCAACTACCACACTGACATTAATGTAATTAAGAATTAAAATTAAAATTAAGGTTTGACATTTTGTAATAAAAATTTAGTATATACTGTTAAATTAATTTAATTGTGTAACTTATATGCCGTTAAATTGGCAATACGTACTGACACAACAATGTTAAATAAGGATCTTATAGACGTGTGTACACAATAAATGATTTGATTTGATTTGAACTAAGTTTAAGTAATTTTTTTACAATTACAAAAGTTGGTCAAAGTACTTCTACTCATAATAAACTTTCGTTTCTCTAGCAGTAAAATTTTAAATTGTTCTCATGAGAACCAAGTTTCAGCACGGTGATGTTAAAAGTGGAAACGTGTAAGCGTTATTTTGGAGATTAAAGAAAGTTCACAGGGCACGAACATTTATAATGATGTCTGATTCTGTGCGTGTATTTCCATTTGGGTAATGTAAAGTTGGGCAGACGACCCTATTACTTTTTTACAGCTACAAATTTATTAAAATAAGTTTATAAATAAATAAATAACCTGTGTTGGTAACACGGTAATCAACGATTTATGACTACAAATAAGATTATCGTTTCTTCGTGGAATGGTTTCATGTCCCTCGTTCACGAATTACTAACATCGGGAGAAAAATAATATCAATCAAATCTTCAAATCCAATTGTGCTCAAGCCCAAACGATGCAGTCAATCGGTCATATGAAATCATACAAATATTATATTATGTTCATATGATATGATGACTTTATTAGTACAAAACAGTATACAAGGTGTAATCGTTAAGTGTGCCTATTTGTGTGACTATTATTCCGTAAATATAAGAGATATCAAAAACCTTCAAACTGATATCGAAAATACGGCACATAAGGAGTAAAACGGCATCAATAACTTTTTTTAAATAAAATTAGAAATATCAAAAATTTTAATGTTCAGGGCTCTCATGTATTTAGTATGTCATAGTATGACATTCGTAAACTGATTTGAATACAAAATTTGGTACTTACTTAAAAATAAACAGTATTTTGTTTTTATTCGATTTTATTTGCAGCAGTTTCGTTACCTGTAAACTTATCGTTACCTCTTAAAAGTAGGTTAGCGAAAGCTTCTCTATGAACGTCATATTAAGTGTATGGGAGCATTTAACATTAAAGTTTTGGATACTTCTAGTTTTGTTTTAAAATTATTGATGACATTTTACTCATTAGATAACGTACTTTCGATATCAGTTTAAAAGTTTTTGATATCTCTTATATTTACGGCTTATATTTATGTTACTCTTATACTTACGGTTTTGGGGCCCACTTAACGATCTCACCCTATATAATAAGTACATTGCTATTCTATAGCCTATCCTATGTGACTGTAAAATGCGGTTCACAAAAAAAGGGTGATGGTTAAATATGCTAATTGAAGAACATAATGGACGGCCAAAGAAAATACAAATACTGATTAAATGTAATAATATACCAATACAAGGAAAGAATGGAGCATTACTGAATCTATAATTATTACACATGTCCAGATGTTCTCATATTACGTCTTATAAAAATAAATATAAACGTGGAGAATAGCCTCATGGTTTTTTCGAGCAGGAGATGGATCGTTCCTGCGGGAACTTTTCTTTGTTACTTTATATTCGCGCCTATCTAAGATTTCACCACAATTGACATTGCGAATAAAGTGTAAATCACCGCTTCTTTTTTTTATAAAAAAAAA